CGCGTTTCCGTCTCCCGCCCGGTGTGGGGAAGAATATTTGGTTAAGGCTGTTCAAGTCCTTGCATCTGAGGTTTTTTATTTGGTAACGACACTCTTCCTGGGGCTTCTCTGCGGAGCGCGAGCCCCCCTCCGCCCAGGAGGGTAGCGCGGGAACTGGGGTAGCCCAGGAGAAAAGCACTTCTCTGAACCTTGTTAGGGACCCTCAGAAGCCGTGACATTCCTCGCGTCCTCTCAACGGAAGGGCTCAGGACGTGACAAGACGGCATTTCTACACTCATCTGCAGAAGATACCAAACACAGTAAAAAAGGACAAGCGTGGCTGGAATCCTGCTGCCGGAAAAGGACAGCTCTTGGAAGGAGATTAGCCTTTCGACGCTGCTGCTGAAGGACCTTCCGGGGTTAGGTCTGTGCCCGGGCCGCAGCCCAGAGCGGCGAGACCAAGTTCCGGAAGGTTCTCCTGAAGCCCCCGTGGGACTGCGGCCCCGGCCGGTGTGAGAGCCGGCCGGGGTTGGGAGGGGGGTGCTCTGACTCCTCAAGCCTGTGAGCGTCTACACTCAAGGCCTTCCTACCCTCTAAAGTACTGAGCTGGAAAACAGACAAGAAACAACACATTTCTTTAAATTAAATGATCTCTCTCTTATATACGTATCCATCTTTTGTTGAATACAAGATGCTTCTTTTTACTATGTACATTCAGTATTTAACCTCTACATTTGTGTACGTATTTAAACTCTGTAATGTAGTAAAATATGCACTGCTTTAGTGAGTACGGATTTACTGGCGGCGATCGCGTCGACATCCGCTGTGGGCGCGCCGGGCGGCCGCTCAGGAGGGCGCGACTCCCCGAGGACACCAGTCCGCCTGAAGTTCTCACCGCGCCGTCCGTGGGATCCGTCTACTCAAGCTACCTTTGGGGGGGGGGGGCAACTATTATGGAAAGCAACTCTAAGTGTACGAAATGGAATCGATATTCATCGAAGCTGCTCAGTGGAAGTCTGCCTTTATGGTTGTTGCTGTCGGCGCGAGGGGGCGAGGGGGCGTGGAGGTGTGGGCTGAGTGGGGGCGAGGGGGGCGAGGGGGGCTGCAGGTGCATCGTCCGCGTTCCCGAACCCCCACCCTGCTCCTGCTGCCCGGCCCGGGCCTCCCGGGCAGGGGCTGGGGAGCGGGGGCGGGGAAGCGGAGATCGGGCCGCGGAGGGGCTGTGAGGGGAGAGGCCGCTCCGGCGTCCACTCTGAGCGCCGAGGCCACTCACGGGTCCCAGCTCCCACGGTCCGTGCTCTCCAGGGAGAGGCTCTTGGTCTTGCGGGGCGACGCGGGGCTGGGCGGGCTGCTCAGGTTGGAGCTGTTGGAGGCCGTGGAATGCCTCGGAGAATCCGAGTCCTGGAGGCCCGAGAAGACGGCGGTGAGAAGTGACGGCGCCGGGGGGCTTTGGCTCCCCACGGCCACCCCGCGGCCACCCCGCGCAAGGAACCTGGTGGGCCTGGTCTCCGTCAGTGACGAAGCCCCTTCTCAAGAGCCGTATCACGGGCACAGGACCTCTCTGCGGCCAGTCCTCTCTGCGGCCTTTCTCGTGCCAAAGCTAGCAGGACGTCCCAGCAAAACTGCAGTTTGTGGCCCCAGGGACTGGCCTGGCTCGGCCCCGCCCCACTCCCGTCCGGGGTCCCTCTCAAGTCATTATTTTTTTTAAAAACAGGCTTTAAGCCCAGCGTGGGGCCCGGTGCGGGGCTTGAACTCGCCACCCGGAGGTCAAGACCCGAGCTGAGATCACGTGCTGGAGGCTTAACCCACTGAGCCGCCCAGGTGCTCCAAGTGCCCGGGTCTCTCGGACCCAGGATTGCCACCAGCTGCTACGCCCCGCACTCACCTCTCCATCAAAGTCCCTGACCGGGGCGTCGCTTCCCTGGTCCATGCCTCCAGAAGACAGGGAGCCCTCCGACGGGGAGGGCATGGGCGGCCACTTGGCATTGTAGCTCCCTCCAGAGAATTCTCTCTTTAGCGCACTGCCGTTCTGTGCGGATGACCCTACAAGACATCACTCGGGTGAAACTTCATTTATGGACAAGTGTGCCGACTGGGGAGACACAGGCCACCCCTGCCCTGGGGCCACCTGGTGAGGGGGCGGTGGTCAAGGCCACGCCTCTGCACCTGTCACCTCACTGCTGGGGAATCGGCATAAAAGCAGAGGAACACAGGAGAAGCATTCTCTTCCCTGGGGAGAAAAGCCTGGACACGAGAAGGAAGGGAGTGTCTCTAAAATCTCGCTCTCCTGTGGTCTTAGAGCTGAGGTGCCTCCAGGAGGCGGGAAAGGATGATCCCCCCTGGAAAGACGGGGGTGTTGTTCGTACCTAAAGTTCTCAGCGCTTCTCATTATTCTTTAGTTTTGGTGCAGAAACATGTCCGCTGGTCCAAGACGACCATGCTGAGGTTTCCGCACTGTTGTTGGCGTAACAGATCCCAGTTTAGTTTTTCACACGAAGATTTTGGGAACAGGGTCAGAGACGACCGCGTCAAGCACGTGTACCTCACGGCCACCAAACCCAGGAGTCCTCGGTGGCAGAACAGGAACCTGCCTGCTGACGCCCATCCTCGCGGCCCCGGTGATGACCTCCTGCAAGGGCTACTACTGCTGAGCACGCACGGAGCGACACGTCCTGGGGCTGAAGATGCCGGCACCTGGGCCCCACCGCACACCAGATACAGCAGCGGGCGAAGCCTCTCGTGAGGGTTCCGGGACGCACGCCGGCTGGGAACCACAGACTCGTCCTTCCGCCCCGGGGACAGGCGCCTGCGTCCGGACGTGTGCAGTGGCGGCTCCCACAAGACACGCACCGATCGTCACGGTTTCTCCGGAGACCAGGGATGCACGCCTTACTTTTTGGACGTGGCTCTCCTGGGCCCTTCGGTCACCTCACTGGGGCCCCACGCCTGCCCCAGGGCCACAGGAAGTGCATGGCATGTTACTTTCCCGAAATGTTGTTATTCTGAAAAGAAGATCCAAAGTGCCAGAAGCTTCCGTTGCTCTGCTTATTATAACTGTGTGACCTTGGAGCGCCTGGGGGCTCAGTCGGTTGAGCGTCTGACTCTTGATTTTGGCTCAGGTCACGATGCCAGGGTCGTAGGATCGAGTCCCAACTCAGGCTCTGCACTGAGTGTGAGGTCTGCTTAAGATTCTCTCCCTCTCTGTCCCTCCCCCTGCTTGTGCGCCCATCCTCCCTCCCCCCCCCCCCTCTCTCGATATAAAAAAGTTGTGTGACCTCAAAGAGTTACTTTAACTTTCTGAGTCTCGGTTTTCATTTGCAAATAATAACTTCTACCTCAGAGGATTTTTGTGGGAACGAGCGAGCGCTCAGGGCACGGAGACGCGGTGCGAACGGGCGCAGGCACAGCGGGGCCCACACCCCTGTCTACCTGGCTCCTTCCTTCCGTTCTAGCGATCGGTTAGGGAGCGGAAGCAACCGATGCCCCCTCAGTGACTTACACTATTTTGAAGAACACACTTTGGGAAAGTGCTTTTCAAGGAAACGTTACACTCAGCCACTCCCATCTGAGAACATTCAAGCAGGGCTGTTTGGGTTGACCAGCAAAAGGGGCCCGGGGACAGTCCGAGGACCGGGGTCCCGGCTGGCTGAGACCACATGCCCGGGGGGTGGGGCAGTGAGGTGTCTGTCTCGGGTGACCTCAGGAGAGTCAAGGCTCCCCAGTGACCCGGTCGCCGACAGGCCTTCTTTCTGCGGGGGGCTGGGGTGGAGCCACGGTGGTTGACACCTGTGTGTCGTGAAGCCACCCTGAGTCTGGCTGGCTGTGGAGACGGACAGCGTGGTCCTCCATGACTTCTCATTTCTCTCTTGGCTGCCTGCCCTTCTGGAAACTTCTCCCACGAGCTGGACTCTTCTTAAAGCCAGTGAGAGGCACTCGACACGGCAGATGCCCCCGGGGGCTTCCTGGACAAGGACCTCAAGGAGGCCATGCCCGACCGGTGCCCCGTGGGCTGGTCTGCACGCTGTCGGCGGGGACAGAGGCCCCTCCTGCAGCGCCCCTGAGGCGGCGGCCGGCCGGGCTCCTGGCGTCTCCGCCTCACAGGTGCCATCTCTAGCTGCCCATTCCACAGGAGCCCGGGAGCGACGGTCTCCTAAGGCCGATGGAAACACACAGGGTGGCGAACCTGATCGGAGCTGACGACAGAGCTCATTTTACACGACTACGTTTATCCACGTATTTCCGGGGTGACCAGCCACGAATCTGGCGGTATGAATGCTGATCTATTTGTGGGTGCCGCCCCGATCTTGCTGGGAATGTAACACGTCGTACCATCGATTCCTTTCTAAAATGTAAATGTGCTGAAAAGAATCTGGATTCTGAGAGCAGAAACAACTTCTGGTTCCCAGGGTCTGGAGAAGGATCACGGACTAAAATACCGACGTTGTGACGCCGTTTGCATGTCAAATCTTGGTAATTCACAGCTGGTTATCAGGGAAATTCACTGCCTCACCTCCATTGGTAACAAGACAGTAACGTGGTTGTCACCCTTCCACCTGGCCGGAGTTTTCACTGTGGTCAGGGCCACACATGGGCCAGTGAGTGTCTCAGGCCACAGGGACAAAGGGGGGAAAGCCCCACCTGAGGGTCCCCTGCCCCCCCAGCTGGGTCTGAGTGCTGCACGGGGACCAGGGCCGGTGAGTCCCCTCGGAGAGGAGGTTATAGAAAGGCTGACGCCTCCGTCTGCCTCTGTGGCCACCTGCTCTGGGTGAGGACACAGGCCCGCGTGGTGAGGGACATGGGCCTCCGGCCACTCAGGGGGCCACTGCTGCCCAGGGGCCCCGCACCGGACCCTCGGAAAGGAGAAAACCCACGATCCTTGCTTCAATCCTCGCACGGTCAGGGCCCCAAGGCCGCAGCCACCCACGGCGGGAGCTGGAGAACGAGGGGACCTTCCGCCCGCCGCGGCGACTTCCACCCATGTAGCTACTGTTCCAGCACGTGAGGCCACAGACACGTGTCCCAAGTGAAGCCGAAACCAGTGCGATCCGCCTCCCCTCCACCCTCCACCACGCCAGCCACCCGTGCTACTTCTGAGAAAGCGACAGACAAGCAGACCACTTGTGACCCAGGAACTACCGAAGGTCCCCGAGAATTCGGTGGGACGTGTCATGGTCACAGGCGGTCACACGGCGCCTCTGTGCACCGTGCACGTTTCCAAGGAGGCGGCGCTCAGCACCCCTACACCTGACATGCCGCCCCGACCCCCACCGAACCCTGGGTTCCCGCGGAAGCGCCGGGAAGGACACATGGCAGCTCAGGGCAGAGAGAGGCTGACGATGAAGACAGTGCCACCTGGAAGCAGGTCACAGAGGACGGTGCCCCCGTGCCGTTCGCCGGATGCATGGCGAGCGTCGGCCTGCTTCTGTGACGCTGCTCTTTGAGACAGACCCAGGTCTCCTTTCTAATGTGTTGCCAGCCCCTCTGGAACCCGGGCACCCCTGTGGCTCTCCCCCCCTCACCTCCCACAACTAAGTCCCCGAACGGTCTCCTCCTCTCCCCTGTGAGCCCCAGGCAGCGCCGAGAGCCCCCCAGGATCATGCCTGCACCCCTGCCTGTGGCCCTGCCTGCTCCCTCTGGCAGGTGGACGGATCTTCTTAAGAATGTAAACTAGGTAAAGGTCCTTGGTTTCTAATAAGACAACAACGTCCTAGCTTGCTCCGCAAGTCCCTGATCTGACCTTGCCTACCTCCTGTGCTTTAGTTTTTGGGTCACTCCCCGACCGCCAACAGGTGGCCACCCTGGCCTTCTCTCAGTCAAACAGGACTCAGATGCGGCCCCACCCCTAGGGAAGGCCCGTGACCTTGGGCTCCCCCTCGTCACTCTCTGAGGGGGGTCCTGTTCACTTCCTTCGGAGCACCTGTCACCACAACTGGTACTATTATGTGTCTGCCTGTCTCCCGGATGCACTGTGGGCTCACAAAGGACCCCATGATCGTTCTCCTAACAGGTGCCCCTGTGCTAACGAGACCCACCCAGCAGGCCTGAGGCAGGGGTGCGTGCACCGTGGGAGAGGGAAGAGCGGGGGGGGCCCGGGGCTTCCCGGGCAGCACTTACTTGCTGACAGGCCGCTGCTGGCGCTCATGGAGCGACCGGGTTCAGGGCGGGATTTGGTGATAGACGGAATACTGACCGAGCCACTGAACACGGTCCGACTCTCCTGAGGCCGAGGGTTCTGAAAACAAAACAGAAAGAAAAATTCTTCAGCTGGAGAGAAAGTGATTTTCTGCGGAGACGTCTAATTTTCACTCTAACTGTAACAAATAAATGATCTTGACCTGGGGTGACACAGAACAAGGACCCGATTCTATGATCCCTCCTGCCCACAGAAGTACTAACCCCTAATGGAAGCCGACCTCCCCCCAATCGAGGGTAAGTGCTCGCCCTTGTACTTATGGAAACGGTTATCGGCAAATAAGAATTCTTTTTGTTGTGAGAACAGTAAGTAGAAGTTACATGGTTAGAAGTGACAGTGCGGTGCAGAATTATATGGACATTTGCAGACGCCCGAAACGGAGGTTTTGCTACGTCGGCGACTTTGATTGGCGGGTCTGCACTAGCTGAATGGAGCGAGCCCACGTGGAGCCAGGTCACTCAAGGGTAGATTTTTCTCAAGTGAGTGCTTTCCCGCGTGGTAGGGGACAGGCACGTGCACATCCCCACACCCTGGCGTGCTGACAGAGCGGGGCCAGGAGTCACGGACAGCACGCCTGAAACCACTGCAGCCGGGGCGAAGTGCTCTGACTCGGGGACACCGGTTTACAAGATTCTCCATCAACTTATGGAATGATTTTGGTGTCCCAGGTATTCAAGTGGGCCAACGGGTGCTCTGAAAAGTCATACGCGGCCAGAGAGGAGGCGTGAGGGGCGGGCCATCTGAACTCGGCCGAGCACCGAGAGCCCTTGGCCGCCTCAAGGGACCCGGACGTTTGAGAACTGGAGAGGTGTCGGGGCTGACACCTGAGGAAAGGTTAACGTCAAAACCACTAACGCCGGGCGCAAGTCTCAGCAATCGGGCAACACGCTGATGTGGCGTGAGGAGCTTCGAGTCACAGAGCCACACACACTGGAAGCCGGTTGGCTGGCTGGCCCCAGGCTCAACCGCCGCCATTTTGGTTCGCGTACCCAATCTGCAAAGTCCATTTAATTCTTAGTGTGTTATCTGTTCGAAGCAAACGCTTTACCTTTTTTTCTCTAAGAAAATAAAACCCAGCGGAAGCAGGGCCAGCGTTTTAACATTCGCACACACAGAAGCAAACCTCTAGACGCCAGTGACGTGCACACGAGGCAGCAAAGGAAGGACCGAGAGGTGGGAGAACCAGTTTCAACCTTTACGTGTTTACTGCTTCTGCTAGAGACCTCAAGATACCTTGGGGCCGTCCTTTCCTACAAAACAGGCCTAGCCTGGAATAAGTGGCAAAAATCAAACCTGGAAAAACATACCAGTTGTGCAGTCACACCGAATGGTGAAGTCACAAAAGACTGACACACGGAAGACACGTTTTGTGAGGAAAAAAATACAACCCCACAAAAAAAGTTTATGGTTCAGTCATTTCAAGTTCACTTTCATTCTAGGACAGAGACCGAAGCTACTGGTCTTTTTTCATGTGCAAATACTCTTTGGATTAGGGAAGACTTTCACCGACAACAGTGTTTCTACTTGCGGAGGACTGACCTAAACAACGTTTCTGTCATCTTTCGTACGAAAAATTCTTGGCCGGTCAGTTTGTGCAACATTCTTCTGGAATCCACTCCCTGCGGACTGCTGACAAGCAACCTAAGGCTGATGTTTTTTAATCACAGTTCATCTTCTAGTTTGTCAAATAAGATATTTACATGACATTATAGCTTAATGACAGTGACATTTCAAACATTATAATTCAGAGTAACTGTACAATGCAAACAAAAGTACAAAAAGAAACTTCTCACCCTACGGTTTTCTATGCAAATAAAAAATGGATGTGACTGTTTCTCTGAGTCAGAGGGCACTGTGGGACAAGGGTTTGCATGACACAACCCGAATGTCGTATTTGTAAAATTAACTTGAGAAAACGTTACTGTGAAGTTAGCACAAGCGTGTATTTCTTTCTTTCTTTTTTTTTTTAAGCGTGTATTTCTTGATGGAAGGTATGGAAAAGCTGCGCTAACGGCCACCGTACAGAGATGCCAGGCGGCATCCAAGGGGCCGGATCCAAGGGGCCGCCAGCAGGGGCCGCACTCCTTCCAGATAGATGCTGCACACTTTGTGTTTTTTTCTTTGATTTAACTGTCGTATCTTGGATCCTGGTTGGAATTAAAGGTGTATCAGCATCTGAAAGCCGAGTAAGATCACCTTCTTTTTGGAATTTTTCCCGTTACTCGTTCATACTATTAGAATTTTTACTTGGGACATTTTTAAGCTTTTTCAAAATGGGGTTTATTGTAGATAGGAGGCCTGCGGCTTGGTCCTACCACAGACCTTAATTAACCTCACTAAATCGAAAGAATTTTCTCTGAATTGAACCAGATTTAGGGTAATGTGCTATAAAAAAAATTCAGAAGTTGTGGGACTCCTTGTTTAGTTTAACAGAATAAAGACCCACACGGGGACTATTTCTAATGATGGCATCTGTAAAGGGACATCATGATGGGAACATCTATTAAACACGAACCCCAAAAAACCCCTCCAATACTGTTTAAAGAATAAAAGTGAAATCCTCCCCAGGCTTCATGCTTCTCCTCAAAAGAAGAAACAAACTAGAACTGGAGGAGGAGGAGGAGGAGGAGGAGGAGGAGGAGGAGGAGGAGGAGGAGGAGGAAGAGGAGGGGAGGGGGAGAGGTCTGGCAGGAGAGAAGCAGGAAGAACATTCACAAAGGGAAGCGCCCTCCGCGGGTTACTTATCAAGCTGGGAACAGGAGGTCCGCACACGGTTAGTGGTAGTTAACACCTGACTCGGCCGTCCATACCCTCAGAGTCATAAAGCTGGGTGTACCGGGGGCAGAGCGTAGAGACGGGGAATACTCAGGGTTTATGGAATCAGGAGAGAGAAATTTTTCAGCGGAATTAACAGTCATGTGATAGATGTGCTCAAAGTTGATCGGAGAGGAGATGAGGCCGGAGTGAAGCGAGGGCGGATAAGGGAGGCCTGGCTATCAAAACAACAGGAAGAAGAAAAAAAGTAACACGGTAATGAAAATGGATTCACTGGTTCCACGTGACATTTCAGACAGCACGCATGCGGAAGGCACGACATCGACATCGCTCACATCAGAACTGAGTCCTTAAGGAAATACTCTCAGGCCTTAGAAAGTTACATTTTGTAACCCTCCTGCCAGTTCCTGGAACGTTCACCTTGTACAATTATTCTCCTTTATTACCGGCAGCAAGTGCACCGAAACCGGACTTTCAGAGTTCAGTTCCGTGTTTTCTTATGTGATAGAATCAAAATCTGGCAAAAACACACCATCAGTAAGGACAGAAAGAGTGAGAAATGGTTCAAGGTGAGCGAACCCACAGGCAGCCTCTCATCAGAACCGCTAGCCCGTTTTCTTTAGAAACCTAACACCATTCCCTGGAATTTACAGACTTGCACGTGTGGTTGCTTTCCCCGGTTTTGTTTCGGTGACCCTCATTAGCGGTGGTGACTCCCAGAAGCCCAAACCTGGCTCCACTTAGACACCCAAAAAGTCAGGTTCGTTTTTAACAAGGGAAAAATCCCGTCCATGTCTGGGCGGGCGTATTAATAAAAACATAAAATACTGTAATAGCAAAGATAGAGAAAAAGCTTTTCTAACCGAAGGCGCTAGCATATCCGGTTGAATGGCTTCTGAGTGATGTGGGACCAGTCACTCAGCACCCGGCCACTTTCTCTGAGGCCATGTGGTCCAGGGGCCGGTGGGCGGACGGACCACTGCGGGGAGAAGGCCCCCGAACCGGGATGAACTTGCTTTGCTAAACAAAATCTGACAGATTATGGAGACTTAAAAAAGAGCTCCTCTATGAGACATTGTTTTAAATTTAGAGATGTGAGTGAACCAGCACTTTCTAAAGTTATTTCCAAAAAGGAAAAAAAAAAAAAACCCTATTGATGTAAATGTAATAACTACTCAATAGAGCTCTCGGGGGTCACTGAACCAGAAGAGAGGTCATGTGCCAAAAATAAATCTTCTGGAGGTAGAATATTATTCTTGTGTTCACCGGGAGAAATCCCTGCCCTTTACTGGCGGCACCCCACGATGACGGAAGGAAATGACAAGGAGCAGTCCGTATTTCTAAGTCATCTGTGCTGCTTCTCCTCTCGGCGCGCTAGATGTGCGTAAAGGGCTTCACATCCCCGATTCAGGGAGAGAAAAGACTCCCTCCTCCTGACACTCTCTTCCACATTCAGGAGGCAAATAACCCTATATCAGTATCAATTTTGGTACAAAGGAAACAGAACTAAGTTTCTAAAGATCTCCAATAAACTCTCTAAGCTCGTAAGTATTTCCCAGGAAAGCAGTACTGATATGAGAAGTGAAAACAGAAAAATGTCCAGGGTGCACGCTGCTCTTGGCTCGGATGGCAGGTGGCTTTGGTGCCCGAAGTTCTTACACGGTAACGGTTGATGAATTTAATTCATCTTAAGTTTTGGAAATAGTTCATTAAATACAGATAATTCCATCTCAGTGGAAAGGACATAAAACCTGAGAACATATTAAAATATCACGAGCTTTTCAACAAACATTTATGTGTATACACGGGTACATGTATCATCGTTAATTTTTTTCAGACCTGCACACTACTGCGTTCTTTCCCAGTGTCTACCCCAAGACAAACCCAGGTCTGGGGGACAGTGTATTAAAACTACTGGCTGGGTGATGAAATGGACGTTTACAACAGCCCCAGCTTGTATGTCCCTGGCTAGTAAAAGAAAGTCAGGTGGAAATAAAATAAGGCTAAGACACAGGTTTCAAAAATTTGCACCAAGTTTTCGTCCTGGAAACACAAGGTGCTTACATGGCAAGAAAGGAACGGAACACACATTAAAAACTGGACCGCACTGTAGGACAAAGAGGCACCTGTGTCCGTGACAAAAAGAGCCCACAAGGCAGTCACGGGTTGACACATGAAGAGGTCTGATGGGAATACGTGACCAGCACAGAAGGCCACGAATCATGGAGTCAGGTGCGGGGAAGAATCTCCCGGAAATGCTATCGGAACTGGTTTTGCTCAGTCATTACCACCAGCCCCTATTTCGAACAAAAAAATGAAGAGAGATTTCTTTTACTTGAAGTGCTGAGGGGGTAATGGGAGACGATGTGCTGACAGAGAGTTCTTAGAGTGTTTGAAATCTGCTATTTCGATTCCGTGTGCTTATTCGGGGGGTGTGATGGCCAAGTCCTCCTGTGTAGGAAGGCCTGAAAAACTTCTAGAACATCAGCAAACTGGCTTTTCACTTGATGGAGGAAGGCTACGAAGCAGAGGAATATTTTGGGAACTTTGTGAACCCCTGAAACTCCTTCACCTTAAGGAATGCTTGATGGCACATTAAACTAGATCACCTAGCATTTTTTTCCTGTCGGTGATAAGATATTCGTGTCTCCTGTCACAGCAGAGCTGGCAACGTGGCGAGAGGACAGACTCCCTCAGAGAGAGCCTGGGTCCAGATTCACAGTCTGAACGCCACCACCAGTGATCAGAAGGGCCGTACGCGTAGGAAGTTTTAATAGTTTGCTCAGGTACCGTGATACCAAAATGCTAAGTATGCACAGAGCCTGGAAAATTCCTAATTCCACTAGTATCCTTAATTTCAACATAATAGGTCCAAGAATCCAATCTTCACGTGAGAAACCAGTCTGCCTATGTTGTACTTTTGTATGGAAGACGGGCCAGGCAACACGTGTGTAATCGGGGAAAGGAAAAGAGATTTGGTTGCCCAACCAGGCAACAGGTGTGACCGTTAACGACCGGGCTGACGTGGTTCTGTGCAGGTGGGAAAGGCCGAATATCTGTATGGAACTGCCGAAGCTGAGTGAAACGTCAGCATTTGGTGAGCGAGCTCTGGATCCCGGTGCAGATCCTCTCCCGACCCGGCAGTGTGCTCCATCAGCAAACTGGATGCGGGGCAAGTTTACGGGGTGTGCAGCTAAGAACCGGATCTGTCTGGTTCTTCACAGATGCCCAGACGCTGTGTTTTTCTCCCGCGCGTCGTATGCACATAGCGCTACGGGGACACAGCCTCTCATCGTCACGTTTGCGTATCCCATTAAGCCTATGTACGTATGTGGGCACGCACGCGTCCGTGTCTTCTCCCCCTCTGCCCCACTCGTAACCCCGCTCCCGTCTGCCCTCCATTTCTCTTACCATGGGCAGGTCTTTTAGGATCTGTATCCCATCTCCTGGGCCCATGTGTGCTATGTGGTTAAAATTAGTTGGGTTAGAAATTAATTTATTTCTCATTTCTGGATCTCGCAGCATCTCTCTGTAAGATAAAACACCCGTTTAGACACTTTTTCTGGGCTCGATCTCGTTAACTTTAGAAAACAATGAGGCATCCTTTATTTGTTCACAAAAATAAAACTGTGAAATCAAGTTTAGCCAGGACAGAATTAACAATAAGATATACTCAATTGAAACTTAGAAGCTTTTCTTTTAAACACAAGATCTTACGCTTTTTGGTGGGGAAACAGGGAGGGTTCTCTCAGTACTCAAATGCCAAAGCTCTATTTTACAGGCAGTCCTGGCCATTTTCTGCAGGCCTTTTAAAATCACTGATAACACTTTAGAGGTGTGTTTACCCGTAACTGGAAATATTACCAGCCCACTGGCTGTTTACTCTCGAAGAGAATGGTTAATCTGAAGTTCTCAGGCCCGTGCCCGTGTGCTACATGCAGCTAGGATCTGTTTTACGTTGAGCAAAGGCTCGCATTCTAAAAACCGCTAAAAACCGCACGTATTTCACGCACACGGAGAAATGAGTGCAAACGCGGTGCTTCAACCCAGAGCGAACATTTTGGAGAGTGTTGATCAAAATCACACTGACAAGCAGGCTCGTCACTGTGGTGTGTGACACCACAGAGGGATGACAGATGTTCAGAGACCCCATCTTCCTTCCAAATCACTAACGTTCCGTCACCCGCCAGCCCCGCAGAGGCTCCCCGCGGCCCCGACGACGGGCACGACCCCACTCGCCCCCCTACCTCCTCTGCTGCAACCTCTCGTCCTCTGGGACCCGGAAGGAGTAGCGTCGCTTATTGTTAATATTTCTAACCATCTGCTTCCGACTGTTATCCGATGTTTCGGGAACCACCAGCTCATCCCCTTCTGTTAAAAGAAGACAAAGACCGGTGGCGTTCTTTGAAGCGCTAAAATGCTTTTTATCCATTAATCTCCAAGACAGCACAAACAGGAAACAGTTGTCCAACGTACGCAATTTGCATTTTTAAAAGGTGTGTGTTGATACTCACGGTAAGCAATAATTCAAACGGGACACACGTACACAGGGATACGCCGAGATGAAACCTAGCTTCCAAAGTATATTTTCACTTCCTATCTGATTACAAACATACAGTGGCACAATTCTAGCAGAAGAAAAGGAAAATGCAGTTGCCTGGGGGTCCTGTCGCCTTGTGCCCTCCCCACCCCCCCATCTCTCTATCCTGTCTTCTCTCACCTTCCAGGTACTGGTTCCAATGGCTTAGGGTGTTAAAAAAAACTCCTCCCATTATGCTACGCAATCATCAGGCATAAATGGTAAAGTATTCATGTAAATGATCGTTAAAATTCTTTTTACATAATAAAACATTTCCTTTTGTAAGATCCAGTCTGCTAGATGTGGGTAAGGACAAAAACCTGGGCTCCCACCAGCTTCCTTTATTAAAGGCAAGACCCTGTTGCTGTTTCTACCCCTCTGATCTTGGTGGGGCGAGGATACTTAATCATATGCACCCGGCATCCGGTTTCAGCGTTCATAACCTAGAAGTAAACAACCGTCCGCCAAGGGCTCCCCGGACATGCTGAAATTTGCGAACACGCTCTAGGAATAAAAGAGACAGCTGTGTTCACACAACACGAGGGACGCCATTCTCTAAGGAACAGGAGAAAAGCCAACCTGGAGAATTTTTAACACCCACAAAGCCGAAGCGAGGGAAAGGCAAGCCAAGGCCGGGGATTAGCGGAAAAGCAGTATTCTTCTCATATCCTGATAATGCAGCTTCATCAGCTTGCTTTCCTAACTACGTGTGAAACACGATTTTGGAACGTGAGAATCGTGCGGCCAGGGTGGGTCTGGGTCCCGGTGGCAGCGGGGGACGTGGGACAGCCGGAAGGAAGACTGCAGCAACACTGAGCCCTGAGAGAGGAAGGCCAGAGGCAGCCAGAGAAAAGGCGAGGGCCCCTCCCTCCCCTTCCCGAGGACAAGACACCTGTACTGAAATCCCGCCAGGCTTTCCCTCTCCAAGCCCGCCCCGCGTCCAGCCTAGGGCAGGAGGAGGAGTGGAAAGATGCGGAAACACGAGTGGAAAGAGGCTTTATCCTACAGATGTGGACTGGGAAACGGACATGTTCTGTGATCATCACGGCCATACACGGTGAGAACAGGTGCAGCCGATCCTACGTGAATATTGTGACTTCCTCTAAGAAACAGACACAAATGAAGTACAGGCCCTGGAGGTGGAGACGCTTACAGCTCAAGTGCAGACGCTTCGTGGCGAAGCCATCGCTGAGTGGCAATCATTTCTAAAATCCGAATCTCCTTTCTCCCGTCGCGGTGGAATGTCCCCAGGCAGGACCTGGTGCTATAACCACCAGTCTGTCAGCCAAGGGCCCTCCAGGGCCGAGCGACCTCCACGTGACTGTGGACACCGCCCGCGCCCTCTGGCTCCCGTGCCCCCTCTGGACTCTGGCGGCCCTGGCCGTGCGGCCACGGGCACTCGCCAAGTTCTAGGCCCCGGGTGCCCTGGCAGATGATGTACTCCTGAAGTCCCCAGTCAGAGTTCTGCATGAGTTTTCACAATTTCAGTGCCATAGACTTGGGTTAGGTTTTATAGCATTACTAGTACAGCAAATACTGCTTTCAGCCATACTTTCTGCACTTAATTCAGGGCTCCCCAGAGAAATCAGGTACGTCAGCAACAAGAATTTTGTGTACATAGCTAGATTAGACAGAACGACTTTCTATCCAGACATTTAACTGAATATATTGAGACCATGATAGTAGCCAAGGTCACAGACTTCGGAGTAAGAGGAACCTGGGTTTAAATGTGGCCTCTGCCACTTATTATCTCCGGGCAGTCAGCTCAGAGAGAGTATTTCCTTTGAAGCTATCGTATTAACATTATATTTTCTTACCTGCCATCTTATTTTTGAAATATATTAATCTAATTGTCTCCAACCCTAAAAGGTTTAATGATCCTTCACTGTTTAAGGGCCGAACCTAAGGTAAGAATAAAAAAATAAAATTAGCATTTCAGTAAAACCCTCAAGTGGAACCATAAAACTTTAGGCCTATTTGTAAAGCACACCCTATTAAGACCTTCCATTTATCCTTCCCCTTCAGAATATAATGCTCTCTCTCAGAAAATCAACAATTCTGACAGGGAAGGCATATAAAATGATGTAATTTTAACAAAAAGTTATGACAACATTCTAAAGAAAGAATATTCTGGGGGAAAAAGTAGAAATGCATTTAAATCTTTTTAAAAAATTTTTAATGTTTATTTTTGAGAGACACACACACACACACACACACACACACACACAGAACCCGAAGCAGGCTCCAGGCTCTGAGCTGCCAGCACAGAGCCCCAAGCGGGGCTCGAACTCACAAACCAGAAGATCATGACCTGAGCTGCAGTCGGATGCTCAACCGATTGAGCCACCCAGGCGCCCCTAAATACATTTACATCTTAAATTTGACTTTTTAAAGCCATTAGTGACTATTTATACTAAGAAGATATTAACACAGCTACTTTATGAACCTGAAGTGGAACTAAATGTCCACATATGATGGGGATGAAACTGTATCACTGGGGGGGGGGGCTGTCACTAAGGGGGGGACTGTCACTAAGTGGTGACAGAGCACCTGCTCATGTATGTGGCACAGAGCAACGGAGTCCCCACCTCACACCACACACACCCCAACTCCACAGGTTCATGACATTAATGTAATAGGCACACCTTTCAAACGTTTGGAATAAAATACAGATCGTATCTTTATGACCTTGAGTTAGGAAAGAGTTTCTTAACAGAAAAAACATGATGACATTAAAATTTAGAACAGTAAGTTTTTAGCAAAATAATACAATTTATCATTATTTTATCAAAATATATGCTTGGCAAAATACACCATAAAACTAGGTCACAAATAGAAAAGATTTACCCCATCCCTTTCCCAGTATTTACAATATATAAAAAATTTCAATCAATTAATAAGGAAGAACAAACAGAAAAATGAGCAAAAAGCATGAGTAGGTATTTCACAGAATTTAAGAACGAATAAACATACAAAAGATTCTCAACAACACAGTTAATTGGGGATGTGCAAATTAATGCTTCAGTGAGACAGCATGTTGTAACCATTTATAAAGGTTATAAAACTACGAATCCTGAGAATGGCAAGGTCAGGGAAGATGTGGGTGAGGAGGCACTCCGGTTACTGCTGGGGGGAGGATGAGCTGGTACAATTACTCTGGAAGAGAATCTGACACTGTCTTGTAAAGCTGAACCCCTGTGTTCCCTGTGCCCCATCAATCCCACTCCTGGACACGTGACTTAGAGAAACACAGGCATCGGTGTTCACAGTAGCAAAACGTGGAAAATAATTCATGTGTCTGCCAATCAGACGATGGAGGAATGAACTGATCTAGTCACTCAAAAGAATATTTTATAGCGGTGAAAAACGATGCACTATTTACAGCACACGTAATCACACAGACGGACCCTGGAATATGCATGAAGGAAGGAAGGCAGAGAACACACAGTGTAACATTTTTACAAAGCTCAAAGGCAGACAGAACTGAACAATACAAAACCAAACAAGTGTTTAGGAATATTTAAATATGCCAAAAAAAAAATCTGTATTTTAAGAAAAGCAAAGGGATGATACAGGCAACATTCAGGATGGTGATTTCCTCTGGAGAGGGGCTGGGGGGTGGGATAAGGGACGGATACGCAGGTAGAGGCAGGGATGTTGGTAATATTCTGGCCCTGAGTGAGCTGTTAATAATTATCATGCTTCACAAAGCTCCTATTCTTTCATATATACTATACGATTTACATGATAAAATGGAAAATAAATGTAATTAGCCCCCAAATGCAAACCAGAGGGCCATATTTTGGGTGCTTTCCCTGAAGTGGGAGTATTTCCAAGAGTTTTCACGGCTGATGTCCTTAGGCATTGGGGCAGACCTTGAAATCTGACCTTGGCTACTTTCTCGTCCCCCCCCCCCCCATAAACCCTGCCCCCAGCGGACGACACAAGCTACGCACGTCTATGTGAAACTTACTCCTCACCCACACAGAACAGTTGTTGCATGCTTGTAAAAATTCTCTGTTGTCACAGGGAAAATCATGTTTTATGAGGAGCATAAACACCTTTATTTTTTTAACGATGAGATGTTTGCACACATTTGGGCTCTCAGTTTAGTCACTTTTCCAGCCTGTGGGGTCTGTCTCACAGGATTACCACCTGCACGCCACAATGTGAACGACAGCCACAAGGAAGGATGACAGGTCCCCTCCCCCCCACCCAGCTCCTGAAGCAGGGGACGGACCCACGTGTGAGGTGGAGGGTACGCTCCAGTCTCTCGTTACCACGATGCTCTCACGACGATGCAGCGAAACACGGTGACACTGAATGTGATAAAAATACTATGGTGTTGAGCTACTCATAAAATTAACCAGCTTGACTTCTGCTTCTACTTTTTTTCTCTTAGCAGAATCCCAAATTACCAACTGCCAGAAAACGCTCGATTAGCGAAAAGGAGCTAACTGGTCCCATCAGTGGTTCACTCCACTCATTAGTTTGCTAGCCCATTTTTGGCGTTCAATTACCTTTTTGAGTGGGAGAGTCTGAATCCATTCCATGGAGTTCACATCGAAGATGTCAACTGCGTTTTCACTGTACACGGAGAGATACGGTGCATTGTAGCCTGCGAGAAGGGAAGGAGGGACAGTGGCTAATTACTTCTCTCTTGCTCTCGCTCTCTCTCTCTAAAGAGAGAGAGAGAGAGAGAGAGAGAGAGAGCGAGCATGAATGCACGTGCATGCAAGCCTGGGAGGGCAGCGAGAGAGGGAGAGAATCTTCAGCAGGCTCTGTGCTCAGGGAAGACTCCCATGAGGGGCTCGATCTCACGACTCTGAGATCACGATCTGAACTGACACTAACAGCGGGACGCTTCACCGACCGAGCCACCCAGGCGCCCCGCACTTCTCTATCTAACTCTTCAACACAAAACATTCTGAAAGGTCTATGCTACATAACTGTGGAACGGAATCCCACCCAAATCCTACTGTGGTCATGCAGTAGCCGCATCCAATCATTTGGGAACAGGATATAAATCATAAACGAGCAGTGGAGACGCTACGGGTCGGATGAGACGGCAGCTACAGGACATGAGGATTCAGTCAGCTTATGCCGAGGGCGAAACGCTCCGTTGTCCAATCCTAGTTCTATAAAGGGACGTCTTCACGTCACGTTTTAAGTACCTGATTCCTAAACCAGTTAAGCTACTGACAGCGAAACAGCATCGACAGTGACACGAGCAGAGGGATGAGATGATCTACCTAAGACGGGGTCACGGATCGAATTACCGCCCTCGCTACCCATACGACCCGGATACTCTCACTCTGACTCCGCACGGAAGTAATACTTTGCCTCGTTACCCGACTAGGTGATGAGACAGCCTTTATTCTGCATACGACACCACAGGTACAAGTACATAGTGTAGAAGAAACAAGACTTTAAGAATAGGTAGGGCTGGGTGGGTAGGATTAGAAGGATTTTTTTCTTTTTTTTTTTTCTAGATTCTCTCACTCTTCTATAACAAGCACACCAGCCTCCTAACTCTTCTCCCACTGAACCTCTAGGCTTGACGGTCTCCGTCCACCATCCCTCCTCACGGGGGCCAGCGGAAGAGGCTTCACGCCTTCTGTCCCCAGTGCTCCCCCCACCCCGTGTTCTGAGATCCACCCTGTCTGGTCTCCGTGAGGATCTTGCTCTATTTCCTGGATTCGCCACACGCTCGAGCTTTCCCCGGTTCCCTGGTTCAGCATTCATACACGCTCAAGTGTCGTCCACTGAGGACAAAGCATCGGGGGTCAGGTACCCCTGTGCGTGCGGCTGGGGAACTCCACGTATCCGCCACAGGGCGACCACAACCCGCTGCCGTGTCTCGGCCGCAGGGGTCCTGCCTACCCCACTCTGTGCTCCATGTGGGCACTGCCGTTGGCCGCTGAAATGGCACGTGACGGCATTCACTAATTCACTGATGTCCTCAGAGTTCTTGAAAGAGTGCACCAGGCAATCTTAAATATCCGTGTATTTAGACAAAACTATAAAACGGAGAAACACTTCTTACAGATGCTGCATTATGCCTTTACATCAGCGCTTAAATAATTCACTTAGTAACTGCTTCTCCAGAGTAAGTCTTAGGAGCTGTTAATGCTCACAAGCACTGTATTTGGGGGGACCGTGAAGATAACTGCTTAGAGGTACTTCAAGAGACCACATGGGTTAAAAAGCCAGCTAAGTAAAATATTCCACAGAAAGATCAGCTTCAACTCCCGACAAGTTAAGGTCAGCCCTGCTGGCCTAGGTCTAACTAACTATGGAGAGTCACTTTGCACAAACGACACAATTAGTACTTAGGCAAAACCTTAAGGAGTCCTTAGAAAAACAAGCCGGTATTAAGAGTGAGTATATTTAGGAAACGAGGCTGAAGGAAAAGGAAAGAGACACAGAGGGCAAACAGCCAAAAGTAAGAGACTCTTACAGCAAGAGGAGGGATTTGCTGGCCACATGAGCTCCTGCTGTCTGGATCTCCGGCCCTGGCAGTCCGTGTATATCCCGATGCTGTTAAAACACAGCAGGTACTCCTTACTGGAGATCTCAACTGCACAGATGGCGTCCATCGGCTGATGTGTGATAAAGGACAGCGTGTGGTCATTTGAGTGGAGCATGCTGTACGGACCCCCTTCTCCATTCAAGGGGTATCTCAGGAATCCCGACTGGAATCCCACGCACAGCTGTTCGCTGAAGACGGCCATCCACTGCACGTTACACGGGACTTGGATTTCCTTAAATTTTCGGTGACGGGTCTTGCTCTGAAATAGTTCGTAACAGAGGACCTGCCTTTTCATAGCCACGCACAGGCACGTGAGAGCTCCGTGGCACACCTTGCCAGAAGTTATGGTCTGACACCCTTTCGTCTCTGCCAGCTTGTAAAAATCGGTCTCTCGTCCGTCCAAAGCTGACATGGGAAAAAGGCGCACGTGACGATTTCGTCCTGAGATCACAGCAACAAGCTGATCATTTGGAATGAGTTCAATCTGATGGATCTTCTTATTGTCACCGACTCTGATAATTTCTGTGCAAAGGAACAGTAATAAATCAAATGCAGAATGACGTTTTAGTGATTACTTATATCCCAATTACACTCAAAAGGATAGGTCAACTTATAATGAAGACACGGACACACACACACAGAAGAGTAAGAGACCAGAATCATGTGGAGAAAGAGGGAGATAATTATACCCATTACAAGGTGACGGCACACGCCCACAGTGAGGTAAGGCAAAGGGTCCCTGTGTGATAAAGCGTGCCATATCTCCAGGAAAAACCTTTTTACTGGCACTAAATTCTCAGGAACTTCACCATGGCGCTCCTGTTTTAGAAACTGAGGGAAGACTTATTTCACTGAACGTATTCTAGGGGCGGCAAATGCAGTTTAAATGCGTTGTCTTCCCACGATCGCACTTGATATGAAGATAGGACACTGATAAATTGGTTCCTTTTTATTTCCCTTGGTATTTAATTTGGCCCTGGAAAAAAAAAACTCTTTTGTATTAAATGCGGGAGAAAATCTCCCAACAGTGAACACACACTTGAATGACGGCTACTTCTAACACTAACAGAGCAATGAGAAAGTCCGGCTGTATCGTTCACGTCCCGTCCTGAGACGTGCAGGCTGTTTGTGGAGCACTGGTGCTCAATCAGTGACACAAGAAACACAACACACACTTGAAAGTTTAAGAACTCGGGAGGATTAAAGAAGTTCAAAAATTATCTTTTGATTTATCAACACATCAAATTAGGTCTGGAAAATTTCAATTATAGAATAAATCAGACCAAATCCTGCTCTTCCTAGAAATTAGAGTTTTTCTAACGACATAGGGTTGAAAGTTACTCCGCAATGATTAAGTTTTCTCTTACCATCTTTCGTGATGTGCACGACAAATAACCCTTCTTCATTTCCCAACGCGATCCTTTCATGGTCTACAGAAGACACGAGTACGAAACACTGTTAACAGGCAAAGCTGTGTACAACTAATACAACAAAATGGATAATAAATTTGGTGCAAAAACACTCAAATAAGGAACTTAAAAATAGGAATAAAAATTTGTACTGTTAAGTTTCCTTTCAGATGATAGCAGTAAATATTACCTCATGTCTTTTTTAACAGATCATTAGAAAGTGTATCAATACTTATAAAAAGAAGTAAACGTTTGTTCAACAGAGGGTGAAAAAAAGAGAAAAAATCTAGTTTGCTAGTGCCCTGGGTCCACTTCTTGTTTTGGGAGGGAGAAACTGCAGAAGGCATTTGGACCCTACTCATTAACTTTTCACGATTTACTAGGAAGTAACAAAAGAGTTGGATGTGTACCAATAACATGACAGAAATTTAAACCTCCAGACCCAGAAACTGCTCTCTCTTGAGGGCGTTTGCTATGCAGGGCATCCTGTCACGGGCCCCACGTTACCGAAACCTCCTAACTTCTGCGAGGTCATCAGAAGCTGTATCCTACCCAGGAAACTTATGCTTTAAGCAGTTAAATAGTTGGTTCTAAGTCGCACAGCAGAAAACAGATCGTTCACAGGTTCATCTTTAGCACTGTTTCTTCCAGAAGAAAACGCACTCGGAAAGCACTTCTCCTCGTGTACTTTCTCGTGTACTCACTCAGCAGACATTCACTGCGTGTGTGGGGCACGGCGCCTGCCATGCTGGACACGGGGGATCCCTGGATGCAAGCCAGCCCTGCTCCCAGGGTAGGCTGGTCAACAGCTATGCTAACACAGTCCACGGCGCCAGTCCATACCTATGATCGCAGCCGCCTGGGTGGTTTTAATGAGCGGCAGAGTGCTGTCATAAGCCTCCTTGGGGACGTAGACTGAGCGGTCTCGGAACTTGTTTTTCTTCAAAATCTTGTGCAGCTCGCTGAGCACGCCCACCCACCTGTTCCTCTCGCTCTCGCTCTCCGCGAGCATCAGGACCGAACACCTGCTGTCTGACGCCGAGAGCTGGGAGGCTGTGACCTAGGACAGTTTAATCAGCCTGTGTTAGAAAACAGACACGCTTCAAGCAGGTTTCGTGCCGATGCTACTTTGTTTAGCTCTGGCCAACAAGGTGAACACTCACCAAATGATCCCTTCCAGAGTTCAGCTTTTCCTAATCAGAAGAATAACTAGTCTTAGCATTAAGATTCATGACAAAGCAAAGGTAGCAGATACCTTTCTCTCTCTCTCTCTCTCTCTTTTACTTAGTTACAGCAGGTACCATTTTAAACGTTAATAACTATTTTTATTTTCTTTGCTATGACGTGCTGAGTGCCACCACTAAGAAATGCATCACCCATATTCCTAGATCAACAGCACCTGACATTTACTGGGTTAAGCGTGAGCACTGCTCAAAGCCCTGCATGAGCATTGAAGCAGGTACCCTACTGGATCCTGAGGGTACATCTGAGGGAACTGTGATGCAGGGATGTACCGTCCCCACGGACGCCCCGCCAGACTGGGTCCCGCGTCCACGCTCACGCACACTACCCACCATACTGGTTTCTCAACTTCTTTTTATTTTTTATTTTTTTAAATTTTTTTAACGTTTATTTATTTTTGAGACAGAGAGACAGAGCATGAACGGGGGAGGGTCAGAGAGAGAGAGACACAGAATCTGAAACAGGCTCCAGGTCTGAGCTGTCAGCACAGAGCCCGACGCGGGGCTCGAACTCACGGACCGCGAGATCATGACCTGAGCCGAAGTCGGCCGCTTAACCGACTGAGCCACCCAGGTGCCCCTCAACTTCTTTTTAAAAGTCAGAAATGTTCAGAAATAAACTTAACATTTGCCACTTCATAACACACAGAATCTTAGGGAAGATCAGATCACTTGTGTTCGTATTTAAATGAAGATTTAGCATTGTACAAATAGCACTTACAATCAGAGCAGATTTGAATTTCACATACATGTGATTTAAGCAGCAGTGACAGTCAACTCCCATTGTGTGAACCAGCTACAGGCAACTGGGCCTCCCTAGGCTCCCCTGGTGACCGTCCTTAGATACCATATTCATAGACAAACACTGAGTAGTGGGCATAACGTTAGGGCAGTAGTTTTTTTTTTTTTTTTTAATGTTTATTTACTTATTTTGAGAGGGAGCATGAGCTGGGGAGAAGCAGAGAGAGAGAGAGACAGAGAGAGAGAGAGAGAGACAGAGAGAGAGAGAGAGAGAGAGAGAGAGAGAATCCCAAGCAGGCTCCACACTGTTAAGTGCAGAGCCCGACGTGGAGCTCGATCTCACCATCAGATCATGACCTGAGCTGAAACCAAGAGCTGGACGCTTAACCAACTGAGCCACCCAGGTGCCCCTAAACCTATTGTCTTAATCCTCCAATTCAAGATGGCCCTGTGGGAGGGCAGGCAGCCTCCAGAGATGGTTCCCAACAATTCTTCCTATGGAATTGCATTCTTCTCATCAAGCTGTGCCGTCTATTGTCCCTCCCCTTAAATCCAGGCTGGCCTCATGACGTACTCTGACCAACAAAACGCACAAGAGTTATTATGCCTCTCTTAGGCCTGGTCCTCAAAAGTTCTGGAAGCTTCTTTTGTCCTCTTGGAGGCCAGCCATGTAGAACTCAGCCAGTGACCGAATGAGAGACCGACCGCATGGAGAAAGTTCTCAGAGATCACCTAGCAAACAGCCAGCAGCAAGGCCCCAGGTATGGGGGCAAGGTCATTTTGGATATTCCAGCCCCAGATGAGCTCATGTGAGTAATCTGAGCTGACACCACTCAAACCGTATAGCTGACGGAGAGAATGGTAAAAAATAAACCATTACTGGCTTAAGCCACTAAGTTTTGGAGTAGTTAATTACAAAGCAATAGAAATAAAACATTAGTTTTTTAAATGAGATTTTAAAAGAAATGTCTGTTTTTCAAAAACTTGAGAAACCTCACACTTGTTCGATTTTCTATGTTGCGTATTTATTTGAAAATTGAATTGTGGCTCAAAAATATCGCCCAAGGTAAAACCTATTTTAGAAGCCAAATATTCAGGCTTTCCTCAGGTCTTTTACTAATGAAATATTTACTTAGCACTAATTGTCTATACATTCAAGCACTGGGTGATATGAAACACATTAAGGAATTGGGTCCTATTCCTAGTTAGGCTTATGATCTATATGGAGGGACGAGATATATATTCACTAAGAACACGTAATTCAGTGATCAAATTACAGCACGCATACTTACTCTAAATATACAGGGTATATCTTTCCGACTTGCATGAATTACATCAGAGGCCAAGACTGAACTCACAGAAAATTCCTCATCCCTGAAGGAAAAGTAAAACATTAAAAGTCAGCATATGTGTATGTGTGTGGTGTTCGGTAGGTATATCCATAGAACACACACGAAGCAATCCTCAAAAGCTACTCGCACAGAATGTCCAAATTGAATTTTTAAAACCATTTGGCTTTTCCCTCATTGTAATGGATACTGCCCGAAGTAACTTGTCAGGAGTAACTTAACAGGGGTAATTATACAAGAGCTAGGAACAGCTGCTGGCTACAGTTGTCAGGCCAGAACGTGTACATGGGGAAGGAGGACTTGAACCCGGGAAGGTCTCCAGAGTCTCCAGAACACTGGACCCTTTTGCCTCCCGCAATACATCTCAAGTGCCCACAACACAGCTTATCTGACATCTCACTATTCTGTCGACGCCTGAGACAGAATTCCTCCACAATTATCTATTCCTCGTGATTTCCTTAACTGGGTTCCTGGTATCATCCTCCTCTTGGTCTTAAAGACTTGGCGCCCTAGTCTTGTCTTTGACTCTTCTCCTTATCCTTCCTGCACCTAGTCCCTTGGCAATCTCTGTGGGACTTTCCTGGCCACCTCTTCATATTCCTTATCTGGAGGGAAGACAGCGTGGCTGAGGTGCTCGTATGAAACGCCAGTGTGCGCCAGAGCCGGAAACCGTTCTGAACACTGGAGAAACAGCTGGGCGGAGGCCCCTGTGGGAGTCATCAGCGCGGAGGTGCCTTGGGGGTACTAAGTCACTCGAGGGGAGCCTGGGAGCTAGAAGAAGAGGCAAAGGAGAGCACTCTAGGGGGCAGGGGAAAACCATGAAGAAGAGACCGGAAACATTCAAGAGGTATACTCATTCAAATGTTTACCAGCTTGTTACACAGTCTGAGAGCCTGTCTGATTTTGACATTTCTACTCCCTTTCCTCACGTTGGAATCATGCTCCACACCTTCAGGCGGTGACTGAAACACTACGTGTTAGCCCTTCGTTACCCAAGCCATCTTTACGCTGGGCTTTTGGATTCAAACATTCGGTTCTTTTCCCTGATGCCCTATCCCCAGCTCACTCAACACACATACATCAACCCGTCCTATAACTATACTTTGCTTCCTATTTCTAATTATATTACTCTAGCAATATCAGTAAATTAGAATATTAACATGAAATTAGAATTAGATAAAAATATGGCAATATAATTAGATGAACAGATACTTTCTTATTCTTCTGTTGCAAAAGATACAAATATCTTCACTTTCAAAAGCTCACCTCATGTCAATCACCTGACTGACAACAACACTGGGCTGGGACGCTTTTCCTTCAGCAACATCGTACAGGAAGAGCTTAAAGTCACAAACCACAGCCAATGCTCTTTGCCATCCTTTCTTCACTCCTGCTGGCTTAGGGATCTTAGACAGACAGACAGACAGACAAAAACATTTCAAACTAAAACGTCAATCATAGCCCTTTAATTACCTACAAAACTGCAGGATGAAAGCCTAGAGATAACGTCTGTGTGTTCAAAGTCTGCCACTCTGGTTGGTGAAGTGCAGATGAACACATATACCATTAATAACTCGAGAAAAACATAAGAAAACATTCCTCAAATACTGAATGACTTTTGATTCCGAAAAAATTTTTAATGGTACCATTTTAACTTTCACTTGTCATTCATTAAAATAACATTCATGTTGGGGGGGGCGCCTCACTGGCTCAGTCAGTAGAGCATGTGACTCTTGATCTCAGGGTTGTGAGTTCCAACCCCACACTGGGTGTAGAGGTTACTTAAAAATACAATCTTAAAAATAATTCATGCATTTCTAAATAGCATAAAAGTCAAATTTGGGTGTAAGATCAAATGCAGCTGACACTTAAAAACATTGTTCAAGATTACGAGTAAGAATACACCCTGCTAATAGCTCACCCTTCATAACATACGCTATGATCTCCAGCAAGACCAAGTGTTGAAGACTCCTTTATGGAGATTTCGTTACAACTCAGGAGCAGTACAGAAAATTCTAAGACATTCTGGAATTTATTTCCAAGTGAAGGCCAGGTTTTTGTTTTCAAATCACACTGGATGAAATAAAATTATTACATGAATTTTGTTTGCCCAATTATTACATGAATTTTGTTTGCCCAATTTTCTGTCAAGTGGTAGGTCTGTCAGGCAACTGGACTTAGTTTTCCAGTCATTAATCAACTTCAAGAGATTAATCTAAATCCAACCTGATCATACTTACCCTGACATGACCTTCATATGCTGTTCCTATTCCCTTCTGTGGATCTATCCCCAGAGGACCTTTTGTCTGCTCAGGAGGGACCGGACACACAGTTGGAGCTTTGTTTACACACGTTATATGACACGAGAATCCACACACTTTCGAAAGAGGGGGAAAAAAACCCACAATATTCAATAGAAATTCACTTTTTACAAGAAGAAAATACACTGAGCACTCATCACATGTAAGTTGCCACATTAGGTGAGTTTTTATCTGTGGCTTTGATTTAAGTAACTGCTCTGCCTTTTGAGGAGTAGATTCACTTGCTTACCAATAAGAACTTCAATGAGAAATAGTAAATATTTGTACGTATTACTGTTCTGTGTTAATCAAGAGAAACAAACACACAGAAAAAAACATCTAAGCTTGTGAATACAACAGTTGATTTAAACTTCTAATTCCAAAAAGTAGTTTCTGGAGTGTTCTCTTACTCTTTATCTCACTCCAACTTGCTATCTGCCTTGAAATTTCTCTTGCAAGGGCCACTGATGGACATGAAATTACGTGACATCTCTAAAATACCTGCAAACTTTACCAGTCCCTCTTTTTGAAAATGAAATTGTTCAATGATTTTAAAAGGCACCAATTAAGTGTAAGATTCAGGAGTTGGTAATATCATCATAGCTACGTAAACCAGGGCTAAGATCATAATAATGGTTAACTTTATTGGGTGCATTTAATTTTCCTGTAACAATCTACGAGTGACTTGCCCTGGGTCACAGGACTCGTGAGTGGCACTGCTGGAATTCAAACCCAGGCAGTCGGGCTCAGGGCCGGCGAACCGCAACTACCAACACCGCCATGACACCTCTATCTGATACTCCAGTGATAAACCCGAGACTCCAAGAAATAAGGTAAACAAAAAACGAATGCATAATTTTCACTGAGACTTGGTTGGGTGAGGATTAAAAGGTAAAATATTTAAAAGAAACAAGCTTGTTGGAGGGGTCTACAAACTAAGAATAAGTATTTAGACAACTCCTACCATGAGGGTGGGTTCTGGAGAATATTCGGGAAAGAGTAAGAGCAGAGACGGAGAGACAGCATCATAGGAGTAAACGCACACGGGAAAACAGATTATACCGCTGATGGGCATTATGAACCCCCTAAGAAGCAGATGGACTAGCAGACTGTCAACAACACCACATTTCCATAAGACGTCTCCTTCACTTGTAAGTGGAGCATCTAACAATTGGTTAGACTAACGGGCAAAAATCTCACCTCCCAACAGCAGCGGAAACAATAAAATAACTGTCCTTTACAGGAACTAACTTCGGTCAACCAGGAAGAAATGAAAATGACAGGACTCTTCGGAGGCTGTCACCACATTTACGAAAGCCTGGGCAGGGTCTAACTTAACGTGTCCCCAACAGTGCACAGGGCAGAGTTCTAGGGGTCTACGGGGAAGACAGGCACAGTTTCCTGACCTGAGACTCTAGAAGGGAGTCTGGGGAGGTCTCAAAACTCCCTTCTATGTTATTGCAAATGACTGGTGCCTAAGAAATGGTAAGGCACCTAAAGCCAGGTAGCTGTCTGGGATTTTCTCCGACAGATTTTGAAAGGACATTTTGAAATGTTGGCTAAATCCAAAATGAGACAAGGATTAACAACTGCACAGATTCTCTCCTTTGGCATCCATCACACCTTCCTGGTCAAGGACATGGGCTATTCCTTTCTCAGACGGCTTTGCTCTCTTTGCCTTTGACCTCCCCTGAACTCTGTTTCCTAAGGTTCTGTCCTCATACCTGTTCCCTTTTCAAACTGTGCTTTTTTTCCTGGAAAACCCCATTTCCATTCATCACTTTGTGCTAACTCTCAAATCTACTTTTTAACCCAGACCATTTTCTTTGGCTCTAAACCGATGCATCTCAAAGACCAGCTGAGATGATACGGTCTGGATCTTCTGAGCTACCCACACATAGAATGTGCTGCCTTAAGATGCTCTGAATTCCCCACTATCCAAAGTGACCAGATACAGACCAGGTCCAAGCACATTCTACAAGGGGAACACCTGCATCTCATGTGGACTGATGACCTTCCCCTCAAAGTCCCTTCCAGCCCTAAGGGCTAAGACATGGAAACTAATACTAGAATTAAAATTAGCAACTACTTTCTTATCTTTTTCATAAGATACACCAGTAAATGAGATAGAAGACACCGTTAAAGTGAGAAATCTCATTTGGTTAAAGAAGGTATTTTCCTGCACTATTCCCAAACAAATATAATGTGTCCCAATACATTTAAATCATTTTCATCTTAGAAGTCTTGGGGAAAATAAAGTGGTGTCCAGACAAATACACTTTGTTTTCGGTTTCAATGACCCCTGATCGTTCATTTCTCAGAATGTGAGCTCCCCGAGGGCAGGCTCTGTCTTTTCTCCTGCCCACGACTACATCCCCAGTGCCTAGAAGTGTGCAACAGGTATCCCATGAACATGTGATGGATGGATCAATGAATCAATGAGTGGTGGGGAAGACTGCTGCTACAAATACTGGGAAGAAGTATCTTTTGAGCCAAAGTGGCACACATTTAGTATTTCTGAAAAGATACCGAACTGCGTACTTTTTAAGAATGAGTTCTCTTGTCAGGGAAATTAAACAAGGTCACAATTAAATGAGCAGATTCAAGGAAACTGTCACGTCTTCTCTCACGCTCCAGGACCTCAAATTCATCCAAATAGTGAAACAAAGATGAATGAGACACATTTAAATAGATCTCCCCTGGAAGAGGTTCCTAGGGGCTATCTATCTAGTTTCTCCAAGGTGCTCAGTTTATTACCTGTATTCCTGTTATATTTATATACCTTTTAAGGGGAATAAAGTTATTCGATTACAATTTAGGGAGTCAATGTTAGGACTCTAAAGTCAACCGGTTTGTTCTTACCTTCACAGGAACAGCCCTGTCTTATCAGACCCACCATCAGAGAGGTGCACTGGTGACATCTGGTTGGAGTCGTAAAAGATTTGACAAAAAACTGATGAGTCTTGCGCTGCAAAACAAATTGATAAAAAAATATATATATACCAATTATTAAGAACACCAATTACTTAAAGGATTTCCATAATGTGACTCCCTGGGCCCCACAAGAGCTCCTAGAAAATATTCTAAATATAAGTGGGATGAATCATTTTCATTTCCCATATCGTTCTGTAATTTACGCTTTTCAAATATTTTTATTAGGCAATACTGAGCTAGGTGATGCTAAAAATAATATAAGAAGTTAAATAATCGTTCTTGAATGACATTTGAAAACCTAAAAACTGTGGCTTTATTTTTTCTTTTTGCTCACAAAGTTTGAGTCAGGATTTTTACAAATTCTTCAAATTATCTTTCAGCAAAGAGTTAAGTGAAATGTCACATATTTATACCTTTACAAAAACAGAAATTTCATATGCTTTTATACCTTCTTTGGAAGAACAGAGTAACTGAAAATTCTTGTCCCTTCTACAAAACAAGTATTTTATTTTCTGGGACCAAGAACCAACAATATGCTTAACAAATCTGTTTCCTCCTATGGAAGCAGGTGGTATTACCTACCCTTCAGTAGACAAATACACACACACACACACTATTCTAGAGAGAGAAAGATGGCAGCCGGAAACTTCTTAAGGCAAATCCAGTAAAGTTCTCGAAGTCTTATCTGTTCTATCTGGCGGTAAGTCAACACAGACTTCAGCGATCTGGAACATGCCTCTCCTCTTCAAATTACCTCTCCGGAGTAATTAATAAACTATTTAACTCCTCTGTGTCTTGCTCTCCTCATTCTATAAAATAGGTTCAATAATAGTATCTACTTCATGGCGTGAACACGTGAACATAAAGCCTTTCAAACAGGGCTGGAGTAAGCATTTAGAACATATTTATTTTTGAAAACAAATTTGACTATTTCTTTTTTATATTTGTGACTGATTTAAACTAGTAAGAACTTTATTCTATATTCCAATAATATGCAAATGCCAATGCAATCCTGTTTATAAAGTAGTCTTTATTTTTATGAAACTAACGTATCTTATTAAAAAACTAAAGGGACCATTCAAAGCTTTAAAATTTAAGTTAAAAATAAATTCTGCTCTTCTCAATATGTGATTTATACACCACAAAGGCTTCAAAGCAGCACTGGGGTCTGACGCAATTCCAAGTAGAACACAGAGTACCTCTGTATTAACTCTAAAATTGATCCCGTGTGGACTGAGCCCCCACCAACAGACATTGTGCCAATAATTCATATACCTCATCTCATTTAATGGAGATAATACCCTCGTAAAGACGGATAATATTTCCTTGAGACTCAGAGAAAATAATCAGTTATTCATGGATATATAGTTAATGGCAGAGTTAAAATTCAAGCTGACATGTCTGATTCTGTCATCTCGCAAGGTCTGATCATTCCAAAACATGTAGAATATGCTCCTTAAAAAACCCCCAAACCACGTGACACATAGTTAGCTCAAGACCAGGGGCCTCAATACCTGTGATAAAAATACAAGCACCTAATTTGTGAATATCATATAAAACCTTGCTCAATGTTTCTCCTGTATACCAATTTTTACTCTTAAGTTTTTGCTTTGTATTTTATTTTATTATTTTAATTTTAGAGAGAGCATGTGCGAACAGGGGAGAGGCAGAGGAGGGGGCGCGGGGAGGGGGAGAGGGAGAGGGAGAGGGAGAGGGAGAGGGAGAGGGAGAGGGAGAGGGAGAGGGAGAGGGAGAGGGAGAGGGAGAGAGATAGAATATCCCAAGCAGGCTCCACACTCAGCACGGAGCATGACATGGGGCTCGATCCCACGACCCTGGAATCATGACCTGAGCTGAAACCAAGAGTCAGATGCTCAACCGACTGAGCCACTCAGGCATCCCTTTAATTTTTTATTCTTTGGGGAACTATCCAGAATAAATTTTTTAGTATCTTCAAGTGTTTAAAATATGTTAAAATACAAAAGATGCCAAGTTGGTTTCCTGATTTGCTCTGGAGGCTTTTATCACGAGAGAAAAACTGATAAGCAGCTTAAGGTGGGGAACTTCATTCTTTCTTCTTCTAAGGGATAGCAGACAGCTCGGAAATATCAGCAATAGTACTGTGGCCATGACAAATGTCATAGTAATTCTTCACAATACTCAAGAAATTGCTAACAAAACACATTGTAATTTTTTCAGAGATCCACTCAGGATGCCAGTATTTTAACTGCGTATGCTAGGAACGAGAAACAGTGCTTTAGCAGAGCACTATTTAACTGACCAGCGACCCAACTGGTAGGTGCTGATTAAATTGGGAAGGGATGGGAGTTACTACAAAGAGTAAGGGGCCCATGTTTCACTGATCTCAACTAAGGACAGTATAAAGCAGAACATAATCAAAGATCACGATTCTGATGGCACTGACTCTAGGCATCACACAGCAGGATTCCGGCTTGGGTTTTGGCGGGGGTGAGAGGACCAGTCGCAGAAAGATACACGAATCCACCCCTAGGATCCAGCCTGCTTGGCTTCTGACCTTTCTAAGATCTCTTTCCCTGCGCCCTGGTCAGTATTTGATTTCTAATACTTCCCCAAAGGGTAGTTCGAGGAGGAAGGAAAGATGAAAAATTGTCTAGGAAAAGGGGCATTAAATCTAAAGCATGGGCCCAAATTAGAGTTTTAGACTATGTGACAGTTTGGAGTAAAGGGAGAATTAACTATAAACTTGACTTTGAAAGAGGTGGACAGAAAGAAGGGCTCTTTTCTACTCCAGTTTTGTCCCTGTTGTAGACTTCAAGCTCCTCACTGGAGAAGGTAAAATGTCTTTAGCAGAAGCTGTGAGGACACAGTTGAACCATTTACGAACCCCGGTAAAAGCTTAAAACCTCCCTGTTGCTATGAAAATTTTACCACTGATAACAACAAGTCTTCACCTCTTACAAACCTTCCTTTTAAAACCAATTGTGAAAAAAAGCTCTTCCTTTCCCTTTAAACACTTTTACTTTGACATAATTATGGACATTCCTTCTTTTAAGAAACATAGAGTAAATTTTACTTTGCGGGGAGGAACGTTAAGTGCACAAACCTTGTTAATATTTAGTCCGTGAAATATTATCAGAGAGCTTGGGGGAGGCCTCACTCTGGTTTTATTTTGCCTTCTTGTTTTTTCCCTTCATCCCGGCTGTTCTACTCCCCTCCTTCCCCATGGGATCTGGCACCCGGTGTAACTGGGTTTACACAGGCCCTTGGGTATGTACATATTCCGAGAAATTAGGTACTTTGCGCAGCGAGTGCAGATTTCACAGGGGCTCTAGTGAGCGCACCGGCCATCTTTCTGCTACCACCCGTAGCAACAAGCGTCTCTACCGCGTTGCCGACCTGATCCGTACAAGGCTCTCCTGAATCCGTGAGGTTGCCGGCTTCTGTACTGTACGTCCACTCCACAATGCCACGCCGCCCTCCAGAACGGGTGTATCATTTATACTCAAAAAAAAAAAAAAAAAAAAAAAAAAAATTTTTTTTTTTAAATGTTTATTTTTGAGAGAGGAAAGACAGGGCTTGAGTGGTGGAGGGGCAGACAGAGAGGGAGACGCAGAATCCAAAGCAGCTGTGCCAACAGCTCAGAGTCCGACGCGGGACTTGAACCCGCCCACCGTGAGGTCACGACCTGAGCCGAAGTCGGTCGCTTCACCCACTGAGCCACCCGGGCGCCCCGGATCGTTTACACTTCTACCAGCGGTGTGCGAAGCCGTCTGTTTCTTCTTGTCCTTGACGTTACCTTACGTAATTCTTGGCAATCTGGTTAGTATAAAGTGATAATAATTTTTAAAGGATTAATTTTTAATTTCTCCAGTTGCTAATGAGATTGGACATTTCTTCACATGCTTGTTGACCATTAGGAGTTCCTTTTCTGAGAATTACTTATTCAGATCGTTCGCCAGTTTTTCAACAGTTTTCTAATCTTTTCCATAGAGAGTTGCAGGGGTTTCATACATGTTCTAGAGGTTGATCCCGTATTGGTGTTGCACATTGCAAGTATCCTTTGCTAGACAGTCACCACCAAATAGCCCCTATTAACCAAGCTTTCACTGTACAAACATCTTTAATTTTGATGTGATAGAGTCCAGCAATATTTCCGTCTTACATTTACGATTTGAGATCTTATTTTCATCGCCCAGTTTCTCCACATGTTCTCCTATGCATGTTTTTAATTGTTTAAATCAAACTAATACACGTACACAGTTTAAAAAGGAAAACAGTAGTATCACAATGCTTAGTCAAGCAGAAGCATCCCTCTTGCCCCAGGTCGTCCCTCCTAGAAGTGATTTCTTTTAACCCCTTCCAGCTGTTTGCCCCCTTCTGTAATGTATCTCCGTATTTCTGGCAAAAACAAAACCAAACCAAAACCCAAGCAAGAGCATACTGCGGTTTCTTGCTTTGAGACATTCTGCGGACTTCCTGCTATGGAAGAGAAGGATTTGGCACTATTACACCTGCTGCTCTTTGTGTTCCCAATTCTGTTAGCGCAGTTTGGGGTCGCATTTTACAATTAATGTGTAAGTTATTGTGACCTTGGAATCATCAGTGAGTCGAGAAGCATACTATAGCTGCATCTTTCCTGTGTAATCTTTTTATTTCTCTGAAATGAAAGACGTCCTCCGTCTTTTAAAGTTAATTTTCTAAGTCTCACTCATGAATCATCCCCAGACTCTCCAAAGGGACTGTAAAATGCCCTAGAATCGATTTACCACGTGAGGAAGGAAGCCTTCCAGACTCTTCTACCCCATGTTCACCGACCTGAAGCGTCGTTCCTGGAGCCTGTTGCTTTCCTGCTCTGCTTTCGGCCACAGGTTTCAGTCTCTCAACCAACCCGTGTGGGATTCTCTCTCCCGTAGACCCTAAACCTTCTCCGTCTTTGTCTCCTCCCTCGTTTTGCTGGAATTCATTTCTTAGTGGTTTACTTAGAAAGCAGGGCCTGGGCGATACGCTTTTAGAAGATCCTGATTTTCTGAAAATGCTCGTTTCCCTCTCAAA